AGGAAAGAAAGGAAAGAAAGGAAAGAAAGGAAAGAAAGGAAAGAAAGAAAGAAAGAAAGAAAGAAAGAAAGAAAGAAAGAAAGAAAAAAATGGCCCTGGCCAATGAGAAATTTCTTGTTCTGGACATGGCTCGAGAATATTAGGACAGTTGTTGCCTCTTCGGGGCTATAACTTCCCTCCATTATCCCAAACCTTCAGTAAAGTCTACTGAAAATAGCTGCCTTGTGTTCATGGTATGTTGGGAAATAAAGAGGCATGGTGGCCAATGTGGGGTGAAGCAACGTGTAAGGAGCAGCATTCACAAAGGGAAACCAAGAATTTGGTACTGGAAAGAATTTGGAGCAAGAGGGGACCACAAGAATGCAAACCTCAAGGACTCTTGGGGCACCTGGGTGACTCAGTTGGTTAGCATCCGTCTGCAGCCAGGTCATGACCTCAGGGTCCTGGGATCGAGCCCTGCCTCAGGCTCCTTGCTCAGCAGGGAGTCTGTTTCTCCCTCTCCCTCTGCCTCTGCCCCCCATTCATGTTCTAATAAATAAAATCTTCAAAAAAACAAAACCAAACCTCAAGGACTCTCTAGAACTGTGTTGTCCCATACTGTAGCCGCTAACTATAATAAAGGGCTTTTTAAATTATTTATTTTTAAGATTTTATTTATTCGACAGAGAGAGACACAGCGAGAGAGGGAACACAAGCAGGGGGAGTGGGAGAGGGAGAAGCAGGCTCCCCGCAGAGCAGGAATTCTGCTGCGGGGCTCAATCCCAGGACCCTGAGATCAAGACCTGAGCTGAAGGCAGACGTTTAACGACTGAGCCACCCAGGCACCCCAAAAGGGCTTTTTAAAAAAAGATTTATGTATTTATTTTAGAGAGAGAGAGAGCACGCAAGAGGGGAGAGGGGCAAAGGGAGAGGGGAGAGAGAGAACTTTAAGCAGACTCCCCACTGAGCACAGAGCCTGAGGCGGGGCTTGATCTCAGGACCCTGAGATCATGACCTGAGCCAAATCAAGGGTCAGACACTTAACTGACTGAGCCACCCAGGTGCCCCTACAAAGAGCTTTTGAGTACTTGAAATGTGACTAGTCCAACCTGAGATGTATTAAGCTAGTATGAAAAAAAATGTCAAATATCGCAATAATTTTTACATTAATTATATGTTGAAATGATAATATTTTGGATATATAGAGATTAGAGACATTATGAAAATTAATTGCACCTACCCCCTTATACCTTTTTAATATAGCTATTCAAAAATTTAGAAATTATATACGTGGTTTGCACCATATTTCTATTTGGACATCACTCTAGAATCTTGGGGAAAAGGAATGAACTTGCCAGAGTATAAGGAATGAGGAGCTTAAGTCATTTTCTTTGGATATTAAAGAAAAGGAATTGGGGACATAAGATAACAGATATTGGTAGATTAAGTGTGAGAAAAAACAAACAGGAATAAAAGACATTTATTTTAGTAAAGTTTTGTTAAATTCAAAATAGTTCCTACAAATAGCAAGCGCTCCTACAATATGATTCAATTCATACAAACATTTGACTTTTCAGGAGGACATTCATAGCATGAAACAAAGTCTATGGGAAAACGTTCTAACATAAATAATTTACATTCAGTCCTTAGATTTACACTAGAAGAGAAAAATAGCAAGGAAGTTTCCATCCGTGAGGGATAAACAAACATGTCTTCTAATTCCTTAGTGTGCCGAACAGTGACTACCCACATCTGAGACTAACACTTTGTACTTTTAATTAGAAATACAGAATACATGCAAGGCCTCCATTGCTTGTGGACCGTGTATCTGTTGCAGACCAATACCCCTTGAGCCATGTTGCAGGAAATTTATGAGCAAAAAATAAAACGGAATGTAATGCCTAACTCTAAGTTAACCAATCTGGATGTAACCAGGAAACATTTTTCTCTTACATGCTAAGAGGCTCTAATTCAGTGCCTCTGGGTTCTCTATTATACACAGACATTGTTCTGTGTATATGGAATCGGTAAACTTCAGACCCGGGATGACTTAAGTATCACATGGTCTAGTCTCTTTATTGTCCAGATAAGGACATGGGGCCACCGAGAGACAGGTAACTTGCCTGAGATCACAGAGCGACTTAGTGGCAAGGGCAGGACTCCAGCCACAGAGAATGGCAGTACAGTTAGGACCCTGGATGAGACTCTCGTGTTTCTTGAAGGCCAACTTGAGTTGCCTGAAAACAAGATTTCTGGTACTTACTCCTACGGGTTTGTGGAAGAACTAAAGAATCCCTCTCTATAAAATGTGCATCACAGCCTTCTGTCATGCTCAATGGGAACTAAACTGATGTCCTCCCCTCCCCTTAAGTCTTCTCACCTGAGCCATATGTTAATGTTCTTTCTCAGAAGAGTTTACCCTCAGTGAAACAAACAGATAGGCCCCCGCCCCTCCTATTTTTATGTATTTGACTGTCCCTAGGTAGCATCTCCTTGAAAGCCTCCCTGGCCAGGGATGGATGGCTTAAGATGGCAATGCTGAGTTCACAAACTAAGGCACTGAGAAGGAATGCAGTTCCCAGGGATGAGAGTGGCCAACACACGCAGAGGGCAGAGTGAGCTACAAAGCAGGCTCATCACCTTGTCTCTCCTTCCACCTCTTCTCCTGGATCCCTTAACCCAGCCTGAGCTCCCCACATGACCTCAGCTCAAGTAACCTGTTCCTCAAATAAATACACAAACCACTTTCTTCTTCCTCTCTTTTCCCATTCAGCCCCGCCCTACCTCCAGAATAACAGGTCAGCGTATGCCAGGATGCCAACAGTTACAAACCCCAAAAGGGAGGCTTGTTAATGGCAATCAATCTCAACTAGTTAGCTTCTTGGAGACCTTCCAAGTGTTGTTGATTAATTCTCACTTCTGAATACACATGTGCATGCACACACACAATGTTCCCCAATCACCCCACAGCATCCAGTGACTTAGAACCCTAATCTTATAAACTTGCCAGCCCTTCTATAAATAATGGCTGTTGGGACAACGTTACTTTGGGATGAGAGTCCTTCATTTCAGGGGGAAATAAATATAAAGTACAAAACACAAAACTGCGTTTACTATTCTCGCTCCTCCCAGGATCAGGACCCTCAATAAACACCGAAGGCATATGGGCCATAGATCTTTGGGGGACTCGGCCTCCCCCTTGAGTCTAATCCCACCCAAACCAGAGAAGGAAAGTGATGCCAGGGCTTCTGAGCACATTCACTTATCACCTGATGGCCTGGCATGGGGTTCAAGGGATGGACCCCGAGGTGAGCACACAGATGACAACATGCCATGAAACCAGGAAGCTGGAGGCAGCATACCTTTGCAGGTGAAACATTTGATGTGGAAATGTTTGGTCTGGACCCGAAGTACTTCACCCTTGCACGGCTCCCCACATTTATGGCAGTGAATGACAGGCTTCTCCGATGGGTGGTGGGGGTCCTGAGGGTGGGCCACTGGAAAAAAAACAAGAGATGCATGTGAGTAGAATGCACTCCTACAAAAGGGGTCATGAGGGGCATACAGAAATAGCCCCATAATTATGTTATCTAAGGAGCCACACGTTGATTCAAGATGGATGAATTGAGCCCCTTCCCTGTGCCATAATCATGAAGATACATAGAAAAAATAAGAGAATTGTGGCTTTAACAGTCCAGTGGAGAAAACACTGGGCTTGCTCCTCTGGGAGCTAGCAACCCTCTTTCTTCCTCCCAAACTTCTCTAGGACTACGTAATTGGGCCGTTAAACATATGATACTGTTTGGTTCGATATTTTGTAATATGTATTTGTAATATGTCTTTATTTTGGTTTAGAAACACCTTTCAGTAAAGAATTCCCTATAGACTGTAAGTTCTTCAAAGCTGGGGGCAATTTCTTAAAGTTCATATTTTTTGCCCATTTGTACTTCTCCTTCCATCCTCCAGCTTCTCAGAACATAGCAGAATGCTCATGCACCAAAGGAGCTCAGCAAATGTTTCTTGACTCGTTAGGTAGCATGCACTGGCCAGTGGCTCGTCTCGTCTACCAGAGAGTCACCCCTGATCTTCATTTGGCAACTCATTTAACCTCTCGGAGGCCTACGATGAGCCTCGTGTTGTGTGCACATTTCCTGATACACACAATGTGGGCAGTAATTTTTTTTAAAAAAAAGAAGTTCCTAATAACTATGTGGAGCTCTCTGAACCTCAGCTTCTTTTCCTATAAAACAAAGGGGATTGGATCAGGCTCTAAAATCATAGGACAGGGCTTACTGGCCTTATTCTTTGAGTTTCCAGAGGTTAGCCTTCAGAAAATGGAAGTTCTTGTGACCACCCTGCCCCAGGGGTAAGATTTACAGCCTCTCCTTTATAAAGACTGAGCAAGGCTGGGAGAGGACATTGTGGCTTTCAGCTGACCAAAGCTCTTCATTTAACTTGCAATTCCTCCAGCCAGAGAAGGCAGATAGGCACTTTGTACTTTTTTTTTTTCCTGATTTGGGTCCTCAGGAGGAGGAACCATGTGATACACAGAAATGTGTTACATAAGTATCCTCATGAGCGCAAAATGGGATAAGAACAGTGAACCTAAAATTAATCAACCAACACAAAGAACAAAGATGATTTTTTTTCCCTGCAACAGTAAAACCAGGTTGGACAGGGGGGAGATGTGGGGTGATATGCTGAGATTCAATTTTTAGAAAGCCCGTTCCAGCAAGGAGCTCGCTGGACACTGCAGGGATAATGGTGCATTGTTTCTCTCAGACCCCTGTAATGTTCTCATTTCACCTGGAAAGAGTCTGAACAACGAGGTCCAAATAATCCATTACTAGCTAAATTCTGAGAAACAAGGTGGTCCTTGTGAGATTTTGACTAGGAACAGGTGTGGCTTCGGGTTAAACACACCTGATCCAGATTCTCTGCATTGGCTCTGGGGAGTGTCCACCAAAGTTACCAACACCGTGACACACCTGCATTTCCTTACCTGCCCCCTGGGACCTCTCTTGGAAATGTGTATTTATGCACCAAAGGAGCTCAGCAAATGTTTCTTGACTCGTTAGGTAGCATGCACTGGCCAGTGGCTCGTCTAGTCTACCAGAGAGTCACCCCTGATCTTCATTTGGCAATTCACTTAAACCTCTCAGAGAAGAGGTTAAACAGAAGTCAGTATTACCTAAAGGAAATAAGGAGGGGCACCCTTTCAAGATTGCTAAAAAACCATTGACTTTTAAAGTGATGTGTAAAGAGGCCCCAAATCTATTTGCCTGGACATTAAAAAAAAGTTTCTCTTGGGGCGCCTGGGTGGCTCAGTCGGTTAAGCATCCGACTCTTGGTTTCGGCTCAGGTCATGATCTCAGTGTCGTGGAATGGAGCCGAGTCGGGCTCTGCGCTCAGCAGGGAGTCTGCTTAAGGTTCTCTCTCTCCCTCTGCGTGCTCTCTCTCTCAAATAAATAAGTCTTTATTTATTTTTAAAGATTTTATTTATTTATTTATTTGAGAGAGAGAGTGAAAGAGCACAAGCAGGGGGAGCAGAAGAGGGAGCGGGAGAAGCAGGCTCCCTGCTGAGCAAGGAGCCCGATGTGGGACTCGATCCCAGGACCCCGGGATCATGACCTGAGCTGAAGGCAGACGCTTAACCATCTGAGCCACGCAGGTGCCCCAATAAATAAATCTTTAGAAAACAAATTTATCTTTACAATATCTGCTTTAAGTGCTGGAGGAGAATACGAGTTTCTTTTCTATATTTTTTTTTAAGTTAATTCCTGCTTCTTGTGAGAATGGAGGAAAGTAGTATTTATTGAGCCTCTATCTACTAAATGCCAGGCATGGTGCTAAGTGCTTACCCATAAGTCATTCTATCCCCTCCTCACCACCACCTCCCGCTCTTGGTGACATGGGTAATATTATTCCCATTTGACAGGTAAGTAAATAGAAAAAGTTCTTGAGCAACCTACCCAAGGAATGATAAGTAGAAGCTTGAAGATCTACACCCAGGTCTTTCTGACTCCCAAACTTAGGCTTCTCCCATGCTATTTGTCTCAATCACAAATTGTTGTAAGTCAGGCAATAATTGATTGAGCCAAGCTCCAGTGCAGTTCTAAAAGCAACAGCTAGGATTTGACTGATGAAGGGAACACACACCACGTGTGTGATAAAGTATCACCCGTGGGCTTGGCACCCAGCAGTACTCCTCCAAGTAGCTGTGCTGATCCCCTGAATCAGAACCCCCATGCCATAGATTAAAAATGCTGATTCCTCAGCCCCACTGAACTCGGGGTGGGAATCAGGGTTCTATCATTTTTGTAAGCTCCCCAGATGATTCTTTTTTTTTAAGATTTTATTTATTTGAGGGTGCAGAGTGAGAGAGAGAGAGATCAATCAAGAACGGGCAGGGGGAGGGGCAGAGGGAGGGGCAGAAGCAGACTCCCCTCTGAGCAGGGAGCCCAATGTGGGGCTTGATCCCAGGACCCTGGAATCATGACCGGAGCTAAAGGCAGACGCTTAACCAACTGAGCCACCCGGGCGCTCTCCTTAGATGATTCTTATGCATACGACAGTTTAAGAACTATTTTCTTAAAATTCAAACAGTATGGATAAGCAAGTTACAGGAACGTTAGAGTGAAGGAGGCAATCCACAAGGCCGTCCTCCTCAGAAACAATATTGGAGCACAGTGGACCTCTTGGCCAGAAGGGAGAATGCATTTTTTGATCAAAAAACTGCACTGCAGTTTCTCTTGACACTTGAATTCTTTATAGCTAAGCAAGTAAGCCATGCTGAGTAATGATGAGGGAAGGAAAATATCATTTCACTTCTTGGCTTTTCCCTTTGCCTCAACTGGCACCAGTCGCAAAGGTCAGAATTGGGATCAGCATTTGCATTTTGCAAGCATTTCCCTTTGGAAATATATATTACACTCCGAAGTCCTCCATGCCCAGAGGTGACCTTTGTTCTCACCCAGAGATGAGCAGAGGCTCTATCGCGTTTATTTGCCTCTCCATCATACATCAGCCCAGGCAGATCAGAACCACCCCCTTGCGAAGGAATGGGCTTTTTTTTGTTTTTTAAGATTTTATTTATTTGTTAGAGAGAGAGAGCGCGCACGCACACAAGCAGGGGAGCAGTGGGGAGAGGCAGAGGGAGAAGCAGGCTCCCTGCTGAGCAAAGGAGCCTGATGCAGGATTCTATCCGAAGGCAGACGCTTAACCGACTAAGCCACCCAGGTGCCCTGGAATGGGCTCTTCTTATTAGAGAATTGACAGAAGATTTTTGACAGAGAATTGACAGAAATTAAGATCTTATTTTCTTTAAAATTCAAAACAGTATGGATAAGCAAGTTACAGGAACGTTAGAGTGAAGGAAGCAATCCACAAGGCCGTCCTCCTCAGAAACAATATTGGAGCACAGTGGACCTCTTGGCCAGAAGGGAGAATGCATTTTGACAAAGACCAAACGAGAGCACTCATTTCATCTCAACAGTGTCGACAAAAGAATCTCTCCCCTTTTTAAAGATTAATAAAGAGGTTCGTTTTACATAGTGCCTTTGTCAGTTTGGTTAATACCAAATGTATGTTCGTTGGCTCCATTTTACATTTTTGAAATATGCTGAGTCAGTGACAATGCGGCTTAGAGTAAATTCTATACTCTTATCGCCAGCTGGCTCTGTTGCTAATTTTTACACAATTGCTCCATCTTTCAAAGCCTGGATGGTCCCCACTTATTCTACTGATAGGGAGGCTGAGGGGTGAAGAGCCTACGTTCCTCGTCCCAAGTTACTAGCAAGTTATTGGCAGACGTACGTTTAACAGGCTTCCTGACTCTTCCTACTATACCAAGTAGTCAGTGATTTGCCCTGGAACTTGCATAGATAAGCTCAAAATCTTTCATGGCTCAACAATTCATTGCTAAAATAAGAGTAGTACAATGAAATCCCAAATGCATGGTTGCATACTTTCTGAATACTGAGGAAATATATATGAAGAGCTAGAAGTCCATTTGCCCAGAAAGGTAAAGGGATTCCTCCACCTTGTAATATCCAGTTTGGACGGATTCCACCTACTCAGATAAGCAGCCCATGGCAAGCTGGAAAGTTTCACACTGTCTGTCACAGGCAAGCAAGGCCAGTCACATCTCTGAAACTGCAGTTAAGGATGGAAGTCAAAAGTGCCATTTTGGATGCATTACTTTTTTTCCCCCATTTTTATTGTTATGTTAATCACCATACATTACGTCATTAGTTTTTGATGTAGTGTTCCATGATTCATTGTTTGTGCATAACACCCAGTGCTCCACGCAGAATGTGCCCTTTTTAATACCCATCACCAGGCTAACCCATCCCCCCACCCCTCTAGAACCCTCAGTTTGTTTTTCAGAGTCCATCATCTCTCATTCTCTCATGGTTCGTCTCCCCCTCCGAATTACTCCCCTTCATTCTTCCCCGCCTGCTATCTTCTTCTTTTTTTTTTAACATTTATTGCATTA